AAACGGATAAAATGCCCAGCCCTAGGCAAAAGGAAGCATCTAAGGCTACGCTATTTTTATACTCCATTTACATTTTCATTTTCATTTTCTTGTTTTCGACCTTATTTGGGCGACATTTTTTGTTTCCAATTAGAAGAGACGAGAGGCAACCCAAGAGCATGTTTATTGGTAAAACCCTTTAAGGGTTCAGCTACGGGAATCGATCACATTAATGTATGATCTTTATTTCGTCTATAACTCAAAGTTCCCTCGTCAAGCCATATTTATGTATTCTGAAAAATCCATCGGACATGTATAATCAGATTTCTTTTGGCATTATGTATATAATCCACGCGCCCCGCATATATTATATAGTTATTGATCGATGATGATTAACCCAGGGGAAGTCACTGTCTTTTATCTTTGAACTTGGGGGAAGTCAGTGCTGCACTTGATAGTATACTTTCTTGGAAGACACCAGTTTTGTCTCGTTTGAATGGTACTTGATTGATAAACGCTGTGTGTCTAAAAAACACTTTTAGCAGTTGTTCTTTAGCCATGCATGAAAACTGCATATTCTCGAGCTATGTTTGTAATTAGTACCTTTTCTGATTCACAACTGTTATTTATCAACACTTTTGGACATTAAACTCGTTATTTACAAAAGAAGTTATAGAAAAACTTGGACAATTTCTTGCTCCTTCTATGGTGGTGTGTAGCTCACGTTTCTTGCAAATGTTCAGAGACTGCTTTTCAGGATGTGGCGATGGAGACTACCCATCTTTGTACATGTTTCATAGGGGGCAGAAGAGAGTGCTTGTTCAATTTGGAAAGCAGTCAAAGTGTCGTGTGGTGCCCTTAGTACCGGTCCTGACATGGGATAGACCAGAAGCAATTTTCTAAAAATTGATCATTTTTATAAGAATGTTTATATACTATAATAATAATTTTCTTATAAAAAAGGTTAAATTTTTCAAGTATTTTTTGAGGGCCGAAAGCGGTTGCTTGTAATGCTTCCCCTCGGAATCGGTACTGGGTGCCATATACAAGCGGGCTTTGGTGGCATTCGCAAGGCATTGGTAAGTATCTGATCTCTCTTCTTCAGTCATCTTGTGCTTCATATACAGAAAAAGTTATGAGTTTGTAGAAATCATCAAGAATTAGCTACTCCAGAAACGTCAAGAGAACTTCCAATATCCGAGGAAACGAGAAGAACTTCACTTTCTCAAGAATCACGTTGATAGTTGAGAACAACTATTAATATTAAAGGATTTCGAAAAACATCCTAGTGGAACGTGTTGAATTTAGTGGGTAGGCGAAGCTAGACTTGTAATAGCTATATTTCGATAATTTTGTTTAAAACAAGCTTGTAATCGTATTTGATTCCCAACTTTTATATAAATATATTCATTAGAAAAAAAACTTGGACAATTATGAATCATAGACTATTGAGAGTTACAAAATCTTTCTGAGCTAACCGAAGCCAATGGGGCCGGGCCATGGGAAATTACTATATGATACGATGAACATATTCCATCTTCATTTTTATGGATATCAAAAGATGTGTAACTAAGCACATTTTGTTCCACAACTGGCCCGAAATGATATAAACTAAGCCCATTTCTTCCCAAACCGACCCATCAATAAGAGTTATCTTGCAGCTAAATGTCACATTAACTTTCGGCTTAAGAAAAGAAAAGAGACAAAACAGAACAGCCAATACTTCGACGACCAGAGCAAAAAAATCATTCCCTGATCTCTTTCTTCTTTTATGTTCTGTCCTTTTTATAATTTGACAAGCCTTTTCGTTTAGATTCCAAGAGAAACAAAGAAAGAACGATGGATGACGTTAAAGATAAGCTAAAAGGATTCATGAAGAAAGTCAATCTCTCTTCTTCCTCTGGCAAATTCAAAGGCTCAGGTCGGGTTCTCGGATCTTCCTCCTCTTCCGCACCCGTTAACCCGATTCAAAACCGGTTTAACTCTCCCCAATCCTCAAATCCAAACCCGAATCCTACTCCTAGACCCACCACCAAACCTTCTCCGTTACCTGAGAAGCCCGTATCTTCCGGGTCACCAAAAAAACCGGATCCTGACCCGGTTCGTGCTCCTCCACAAGACGGGTTCGACCCTTACGGAGCGTTCATCACCTCCTCCAACAGATCTCAAAACGGATACTCTCTCAACATGTTCGAGTGTCCGATCTGTAGCAACCCTTTCAAAACAGAGGAAGAAGTCTCCGACCACGTGGAGACCTGTCTTGGAGACGAGCCTGTAGCAGCATCGGAGAAGGTTAACGAGTCCGAAATGGAGAAGCTTGTGGTTGTGTATCTCTCCGGGAAACCAAATGAGAGTTTTGTTGATGTGTTGCTTAGGTTGCTTAAGAACATAGTGAAAGAGCCTGAGAATGGTAAGTTTAGGAAGATTAGGATGAGTAACGCTAAGATTAAAGAAGCCATTGGTGATGTTGCTGGAGGTGTTGAGATTCTTGAGTTTGTTGGGTTTGAATTGAAAGAGGAGAATGATGAGGTTTGGGCGGTTATGGATGTTCCTGAACAAGACAGAACTCAGTTGATTAATGAAGTTGTCGGAATGTTGGAAAATAGAAAGATTGAAATGGTTAAAAAAGAAGAGGTTCCAGTGGTTCCGAAGAAGATTGATAGAGAGGTAAAAAGTTATTTTTTGATTTTTATTATGACAGAACCTATTTAAGTTTTGTGACTATCTTTTCTGTTGGATTAGATTCGTGTCTTCTTTTCTGTTGCTGAGAACGTAGCGTCGAGAATAGAGGTGCCTGATTCGTTCTATAGCCTCTCTGCTGATGAGATAAAAAGAGAAGCTGATTTGAGGAGGAAAAAGATTGCGGAATCACAGCTTTTGATCCCAAGATCTTACAAGGAGAAGCAAGCTAAAGCAGCTAGGAAGAGATACAAAAGGAGTTTGATAAGAGTGCAGTTTCCAGATGGTGTTGTGCTTCAAGGTGTGTTTGCTCCTTGGGAACCTACCATTGCTCTCTATGAGGTTAATATTGAAACTCCTAAATTTGCTTATTTGTTAAATTAAGACAAATTTTTTTGAAGATTCTGTTTTTTTTTTTTTTCAGTTTGTGAGTTCTGCTTTGAAAGAGCCAAGTTTGCAGTTCGAGCTTTTGGATCCTGTACTGGTTAAACGGCGTGTGATTCCACATACTCCAGCACCGGGACAGAAACCAAGAACCTTGGAGGACGAGGAGCTTGTTCCTTCAGCGTTAATTAAGTTTAGACCAATTGAGACTGACTCTCTTGTCTACACTGGTCTCTGCAATGAACTCCTGGAGATTAGTGAACCACTCACATGATCATACGAGTTTTACAGAAGATTTTGAATCAAACGGTTTGAGTTTCTTTCTTTTATGGTGTTATTTGATTATTCCGTGTTTGTGATTCGAACTCATTATAGGGTTTTATGGGGAAAAATGTGTAATTTGCACAATTATAAGAATCACAGTTGAAGATTCATCATATCTGAAAGCTTGAGTCTTCTACTAGAACAATGCATGACGTTAGTAAGTATTGGATTTGGTTCAGTTGTATAGTTTATGATTGGTTTAGTTCTAATTGGTTTCCTCTAAGGAGTTAAAACAACAATATCCAATAGTTTTATATTTTATTTGTTTAATCTAATTAAATTCCTGACCATGTATTCAAGTAGAAATCTAGAGATATGAACCTTATTTAAGACTTGAAATGGCAACAAAATTAACATAAAAAAAGTAGAAAAAATGAGCAAAAAGAAGATTGACACGAGCAACAAAAGAAATTCTAAATAATTCCAGTTTCATACAAATGGAACTCTGGTTTTTACACATTGCGTTTGGCGAATGATACTAGGAACCAAACGTTTGTATTGCCAAGGAAAAAGTTGATACGAAGATGCTTCAGGCGTGGCTCTTGATTTGTGTTGTTCTGATCCTCTCTATGCAGGTAGTGGATCCTTCTTCCTACAAAAAAAATAGATTAATATTCGAATTAATCAAACTCAATGAAAATAAATTATAAATAGAGGAATGATATTTAGAAACCTATCAACCGCTGATAATATGAAGACAGAGGAGAAAGAAGAAGAATAAAAACACTGGCGATCACAATCAGTTCACAAGATGCTAATGATCGTTCTTTCCTTATCTTCACTCCTTGTTCGAGCTTCTCACAATGCCCCGTGCTCAGAAACGCTATTAGAGACGAAGCCAAAGCCTTGGGAAAAAGTGTTTGTTGTATACCACCATTGAGTTCTCGGTTAACCAGTGATCTTCTATGGGAGTCAAAGGTTAGTTGAGAACTCAACATGTGGTTTATAACAACCACCTTTGTCCATATATAATAAGGTTTCATCTCTAGCATCGGAGAAACCAGGGACATAGAAAGAAGCTCAGATAAAGAGCCAAGGCAAAAAGAAGAACAATAGTTAACATCTTTTTAGATAAGTCGTATAAAATGTCACGTTTGTTTGAAGAGAAAAGAAAACGTATATATAGTTCTCATATAATTAGCCAAAAAGGAAACAAAATATGTCAAAGTAAAAGCAAGGATTTGAGGGAAAGGAACTAATTAATGTGAGTAATAAAATGATATTTGCAATTATTACTGAGATTTTGTATAGAACTAAACTTCAGGAAAGTTAGATTTCTTGTTGTAATTTAAGAATGTACACAATCGACTAATAAATACAAAGAAAATTCGAATGAAACCGACCCAAATACGAAGATTCCGTGGAGATTTGGCTACCGTTCTTTATTTTTGCGATCGTTGGATGATGTGTTCATCTAGCGTACCAATAGTATTACGCTAGATAAACAGTTGGTCACGCAACAGTTAGTAAACACCATTCACCTTCCAAATTTCTACAAAGTGTATAGCTTTTCTGGCATAGAATTTATCGTCTTGTTGTCGACTATACGTATGAAAATTTTAACATATTCATAGAATGTTATAATAGTACTGTCTATTTATGTGGAACTGAACCATCCAATCTTTCAAATTACTGCAAAACATATATATGGTGTCAAGGTTACACATCCACATTAATTGATGATAAGTTATGTATTTTCAGTAGAATAACAATAAACGTTATGAAATCATTCCGTCCTATGTAGTTAGATCGTCTATGTTATATAAAATGTTTGCTCATAAAAGCCTAAAGTTTTATTAGTCCAATAAATCAAATTTCTGGCTTTTGTGTTAACTTTCTCTACATTTAACAGTGCTAAAATCAATCAGACACTTGGAAACAACACTTCATTCAGCAAGCTTCACAACATCTGGCTGTTTCACATAGTACCATCTCCCACACGCTTCTTTCACTGTAACATTCATCTTGATGCTATCTGATTACTTCATTAATAAAATTGCAACAATTTAAAAGAAAAACTCTCCATTTTTGTTTCTTCATTTGAACATGTTACTTGCAAAAAAGAATCCAGTGTGTTTGTTCTGACTGTGAGTAATTATCTATCCAGTAAATGTTTTGTATGTCGAATACTTATTTCCGTTTATTTACTACACAATGAATTTTAGGATTTTACATAGTCCAATGTTTTCATATAAGAACATAAACAAAGATGCAGAGAACAACAAATGTTTTTAGATATGAAAGTCGAAATCTTCTTTTTGGCCTGTACCAGCCCTGTGGTAACAAGCTTAAATTTAAGACGACAAGTGTTTTTAGGAATTGATAGTCGAGAGGTTCAATTGCGCTTGTTCCTGTCATGTAGTGACAATGTTGGCATACAGACATAATTCTCAAAAATTCTCTCAAGATATTTGAAACTGTGTAACCAAAAATATCTTCATTTCACTTAGACATAATTCTCTTGAGAATCATCCTGACTTCGTCACATTTTGGAAAACACCTCGAAGTCAATTGATCCCTCTTGGGGGCTAGGGACGCCATTGATGCGAAGTGTCTCCAACTTATGATTGTTCTCAGCCAAGCTTTCAACACATGCAGTGATTCCTTCTGGACTACTCCGTGCACCCTGGCACAATTAACTGAGAAATAAAGTTCAATCAAAGAGGTCAAATCATTCCTACAAAACTCACTATGATCTATCGAGTTTCCTGGTAATCAAGTTAACTTTTAATTCAGAGGGTTTGCGTCCTCCAAATGACAAAAGCCCTTTGTTGGTGACTCTACGACAATTTCGGAAGCATGAACCTCTAATAAAATTTCAACTAATAGTTGTTGGGTCTACTTTAAGCAGAACCCTCCAAAAATAGGCGTATGCCACTTAGCATGGAGAACACACGGTATTCTTTAGTAAAAGGCGAAAGAATAGTTCGCTTTGTGCTCACCACATGGCTGCGTGGCTTATAAGAGAAAGAGAGAGCATTTACTTATAACACAACTCCTAATGCTAATTACTCCCAGCCTTCCGACGTGGGACATACAATGGCTGTACGTATTATTTAAAACTCTTTGTGGGCTTTGATGGGCCTCTAATAAGGATTGGACAAGGTTTCAGGAGACGATTATTGAGTTGCGTGTCAGGAGGCATGAGCAGTTGAGTGTATCCCATGTAGTTATGTGCCTATCCTTATGCCTATTAGTTAGAAGTTTCCTCTTACTCTAGTTATAAACACTGCCACTAGCATGAATATTGAATATACGTCGTGTTGTGCTGTAATATGGTAAAACACACAAAAAAATTACTTTCTTACAACATTGTTAAAGCTCTTCTAAAGCTATTTTTTCACAAATAGTGCCACGGTGACCCTAACTTATTTGTTGTCAACATGAAAAATGTAGAGGGGGAGGGTTAAAAGATCCGCTTTTGATTCATGTTATTTTAGGAAAACGAAAGAGGATTACAAATGAACAATGTACATTTTTTCTTGTCAACTATGTCTTTTTTGTCATCAAATGAACAATGTCCTTGATATCATCTATACTATTAAACCAGGATCCTATTGTTAAAATTTTGGATTCTACCCCTAAATTTTTATCACATTTATAAGATAATAGCACTATTTATTTTTAGAATCTTAATTAATTAAACAATTTAATATCTCCTATATTTATGGTAACTGATAATATTTCCTATTTTTGTGATTAATAATAATTTTCCTTTTATGAAAATTATGATTTTCTATTTAATTTTAATATCATATTTTTGTGCATCATATTATTTAGCGATCAAAAATTATAAATGATTATTTAATATTTCATTTTATCCATAATAATGATATGTCAATTCAATTTGTTTTAAAAACTAAATTTTAGATATAAAATGAGTAAAAATGTAAACTTATCATAGGTTATTAATAACGAAAAGAAAATAATATTGTCATATGAATAAATTGTGTTTTTTTCTATTGCCATTGTTTCATTTTTTCAAATGACAAGAAAGTTTTTATTAAAGAAATTACAAAAAAATCAATTTCTTTAATATTAAAAATATGAATTATTTAACAAATTTTTAAAAATATATTATCAGTTTTTATGAGTTATTTAACGGATCAACGGATATCATAATATAGATTAATATCGGGTTTTAAGATATATATCGGGTTGGCTTAAATTTTTAATTAGTAAATTTTAATTAAATCTTAACTGGATTATATAAAAATTGCCGGATGTACCGATTCAACTATGGATCTGGGTCAGATATGGAAACATTACGTGAAAATCAAACATTATAAAAGAACTTCTTTAAATATTAATAAAACAATTTTAAAATTTTTGTGTTTGAATAATTAATTTAAATAAATTTTCTCCAAATGGTAAAAATATACCCGCGCTTTTAAAGCGTGGGTCAAAATCTAGTATTGTCTTAAACTTTTAATATATATAGTCTGGTTAAGTAATTTAATTTAAATTAAGTAGTTAAACTAATTAGATGATGTCAAATGGAAGAGGATGTTTTTTTGAGTCTCGTGATGTCTCTTAAATAAACGGGTTCTTAAGCTTTTTGTACTTTTCATTTTTTTCATTCTTTTTTAGTAGTTAGATATCCACTAAAAATTCTTAGAGCACCCCCATTAAAAATACAAAAAGTGTTCATAAGGAGTGTTTTCACACTTCCCAATAAAAAATATTATAATAATGCTCCCATGATGAACCTGTTGAGCTATTCCGGATGAACATGTATCACTACTGTTTTGCGGGCTCTATGCCATATGGAGGTCCGCGATTGATCCGTTAATTTTTTTTTTTTAAAGAAAACGAAAAAAAATTAATTTTTTTTTCTGTCAACCCACTTCCTATAGATTCACAGATGGGGGTGCTCTTAGTTGATAGCTTTCAAGGACTAACATTTTTTTTTTCTTTTTGTAACTGGGGACTAACAAAAGTTCATATACTGTAAATCACATTGTTTAACATTTTAAATTCATCACATGTTGTCAAAATGTTTAAAATGTTGTTGAAATCAACGCAAACGTCAATCATATAGGATTTCACTTTTAAGTTCAAACAGACAATAGTAAAAGCCGAAAACGAATATAACTTTTTTTTAACTTAAATTTTACTCCAAACTTTACTATGTTCTTCTATAAATGTTTGCATACTAAAGTGTTACATTATAGCACCTAAATATCTATACAGATGTATATGCTTTGGTTATGTGATACAATCTAGCTAGTAAGCCTAGTGTACACTCAAGTGTTGCTTATTAGAGTCCATCAATGTTTTCTGTATAAACTAATGTTTGTTTTCTACAAAAGGAATTGGAAATAATTTCTTAACGTCTAATGTTATGAACTTATGAAATCATTTCACATTAGTTTTCTAAACTCATTGCATAAGTTAATATATCATAATATATCGTAGTTTAAGAACATTAGACGTTAAAAAAGCATTCCCCATTTTTCGGATACATAGAAATCATTTCCCATTCTATTGAAATATATAAGATTCATCATCAAATAATTGGATATTTGACCTCTCCACATCAGATGTTTGCAGTAATTTGTTTAGTTCCACAAAAATAGACTGGCACCGTTGTATTTTTTCTACGAAAATGTTAAGACTTCCATATGTAGTCAACAACAAGACAGTAAACAACACGAGTTTAAGATATGATGCCAAAAGAAGAGGAACAGACTTTGGAGAAATTTGGAAGATGGATGGTGTTTATTAACTGTTGCGTGACCGAACATTTTCCTAACGTAATACTTTTGGCATGGCAGATAAAACACCAGTCCACGATCGCAAAATAAAGAAAGGTAGGCGAATCTCCATGGAATCTGGCGGATACCATTCGAAATTTATTTGTATTTCCATTAGTCGATTGTGTACATCTTTAAATTACAATGAGAAAAATCTATCTTTCCTAAAGAATATATACAAGATCCAAAATTAATTGCTAAAGAGTTTTAGCTTAATGCAAATTGCCTTTTATTACGTCCACTGATTTAAGCTCCTCTCCGTGAAGTCCTTGTAAATCATTTATTTTGCCATATGTTTGTTTAAATATATTGCTAGATACGCTGGCAACCCTAACCTTAGGCCTATATAAGCCGCCAACCCAACTAAAATCTTTGTCGGAACAAGAAAGAAAGAAAAAAAAAAACCCGAAAAAACAGTGAAAATGGTAACCAAAAATCTTACCGCGACGTTGCTCCTCTTCACCACCTTTCTCTTCATTTCCGGATCACTCTCAGCCGTTCATTCTCCTCCAACACTAAGCGCAACGACCGAAGATCTAGATTTCATCCGAACAAGCTGCAACGTTACTCGATATCCAGACCTCTGCTTCAAGTCTCTCGCCAGCTACGCATCCACCGTTCACGGCAACACGGCGAAGCTAACCAAACTCTCAGTCGATGCTGCGATAACCCAAGCTAAGTCAACGGTTGCCTTTCTCTCCAAGCTCTCTCTCTCAGCAGCAGAAGTGAAAGATTGTGTTTCTTACGTACAAGATGCAATGGACTCAATGAGAGATTGTATCCCACCACTAAAAAACATTATCGGTGGAGGCGTTGTCGCGGCGGCGGCTCCGTCATCAGCTGCTTCCCCATTGGCGGAAACGTTTAGGTCTCAGGTGGACGACGTGCTGACGTATATGAGTGCAGCATTGACTTCCGAGGAAACGTGTACAGACGATTATGAAGATGAAGAAGGAAAGATCAAGACGATGGTTTGTGATCGGGTGAACAATCTGAAAATGTATTCTAGTAATGCTCTTGCGCTTGCTAGCAGTTTGGCCAAGAAATGATCTCTCCTCCATGTTATTAGATCATGAAGAGTGTTTAAAATTTTAAATTTAATTGCTTATTCATATAACTTTTCAAATATTGTTAAAGACTTCTTTTGAGGATTTCATAATTTAAGGATTTTAATTATAAAAATAGTATGGTTGTGTGAAAATTTGAGTGCTTGCTTCTAAAATATAGTAGGGGGTTTATTCTTCATTAGTTCGTCTCTATATGTTAGACATGTATGCTTAATAATTAGTATTTACGAAATAATTAAATTTTGGGTTTTGTTTAAAATGAGTTCAGTGAGGGCTGACAGTAAGCAATATGTGAACCTATGTATAATATATACGGTCAAAAGTTGTAATAAGAAATTTCACAAGTTGTAAGTATTATGATGAAGCTTAGGCCCCATGTTGAGTTCGTCCGGTATGCGGACACATTATACAAATGTAAATTCGAGCCTATGTTCGATGCTGTAGCAAATAGCAAGGTAGAGAGCGATCACCAATAAACAAATCACAATATGGTACGACGTAATCATACTCAAAGACCAATTAACGTTAATTAGTTTTTACTAGCGATACCATGCATTAGCTTTTTTTTTTGGCTAAAATCATGCATTAACGTTACACCATCGTTTGAATATTCTGCGTGTGTATCATAGGAATTGTATATACGAGGGTGGCTCTAGAAAGTAAAGTGCATTTGTCCCCATTAACTTTTAAATTTATAAAAATTTGGTAAATTTCGGATGATTGAAAATTTAAGTGCAAAATTCCTTGACTCCCCCCCCCCACACCACATTAAATTCATTATTCGATTCCAAATTGCCATTCACTCTTTTAAATTTTCCATGACCCCCTTGTTTCCTCATTCACCAAACCATCCTAAATTAGGACATAATTATATTTTCTTTCTATAAATATGCTAAAATTTCTAAAACTCATCTATGTAACATATTTTTGTATATATCTCAACATATATATGAATATACATATTTAAACGTATTACGTATATACTATGAGAATAGTTAGAAATTAATGACAATCATATGGAGTTGTTTTAAGTTTTGGTGTGTATTTTCTTCTGACCCTTGAAAAGAGTTGGAATCTTGTTAAAATATTGTGTTCGTGTTACCCAAGTTGATTATTAATGTCAAAATATTTTTAAAACTTGTATTACTTAGGCCCAGTATATGTCCATTAGATAATTTTCACCCTCTCTTCAAAGTTTTTGCTTCTTTAATTCAATGGGAAGACTAAAGTTATTAGTCAAACCGCCAACAACTAACTGTTCATTACTCTCACATGAACCCAAATGAAATATCAAAATATGTATGCTATCGTTTGAAAAATTCCAGCTCCCGCCTTAAATTGAATAGAACAAAGCTACGAAAATTTTGAATCTTGTTAATTTCTCAACACTCAATTGTATGTACATTCTTTTTGAGTTTAACTTTCCTGAATTCACTCATAATAAAATACTAATTTTTCCACAAAAGCGTTACTTTAGAAAAAGGGTAAAGAAATACCCGAAATTTATACATCACACACAACAACCACATGCAAACTCGAATTACATTCTCTTAAACACCTTTTTTTCTCTCTACTCAACCCCTAAAATTAAAAATAACAGACAATTAACCATTAAACTCGACTTTAGAAAAATACTAATTATTTTTTAAAAGAAACTCTCTTTTTTAGATTTTTTTCTTGCTTAAGCTTCTAATCAAAGCTTAATTCGATTCGCTTAACCCTCAACTTCAACAACCAACAGGCACCATCGCAGGTTTCGCCTTCGGTGGCCTTCCACGTCCTCTCCTCTCTCCACCACTCGCCTTCGCCTCCGCAGGTTCAACATCATCCTTAACCTCCTCAGATTCCGTCTTCTGCTTCTTCGGTGGCCTTCCACGTCCTCGCCTCTCTCCACCACTCGGAGCTGCTTCAACCTTCGTCTCCACCTCCGACGAAGAAGCATCCTTCGCCTTCGGAGGACGACCTCTAGGCCTCGGCGAAGAAACCGAGGAAGGAGCTGGAACAGTCGCCACGTGGCTCGAATCTCCCTGCGCCGGCTTCGCTTTGGGAGGACGGCCACGGCCGCGCTTGGGAGGAGCATGCGGATCTGGTTTCATGTAGTTGTTCTTCACCATCACGATCTGGCCGGAGCTTTTCATCTGGTTGAGGTGGTAGGTGAGGAGCGTCATGTGTGACGGCGGTAGTGTGGTTTGTGTTGACTCGATGTGTTTAGCGATCGTCGTTTTGTTGCATCCGTTCACGTCGTTTGATGCTTCGATCGCTTCCATGATCATCTGATTCCGAAAAAAAATTCAGATCTATTATATGGAACGGTTAAGTGTACAATTTCGAGATCTAAACCGGTGCGGTTAGGGATTTATACCTGAGGATACGGTGGGAGGGAGAAGGGAAGCGGCTGCTCGTCCGTCATTGGAGTTTGTTGAGGTTCAAGGTCGGTCTCCGTCGCCATGATTTTGCTGAGAGAGAGAGAGTGAGGTGGGAGAGAGAGTACTGTTGGTTGAATGGGCGCTTGAAGAGATGAAGCTGTGTGGATTTAAGAGAAGGTAATAGTGGTTTTCTTTATTATTTAAATTAAAATTGTTTTTGCTTGGATTGTTGATCGGATGGTTAGGGTGCGTGGATACGATAGTTGATCTAACGGCTGCGAGATGATAAGAATATTTTCGCGCAGGATTGCTGACATGGATGAAGTAGTGATAAGTGATAGCTCTTGTGAAGTTACCGTATTGTCCCCAAGTTTGAACTTTACAAAAGAATAAACAATTGGGGAATTTTCGGTGATTCGGCTCATTAAAGTCAGAACGTGTCGAATGATGACTGGAGGCTAATGAAAAAGGAATTGAGAAAATGAGGCAAGGCCTATTAGAATAAAGGCCCATTGGACCACATTAAGATAACAGTTTAAAAATAATGTTAAATTTTGATTTATGGGATTTACTCATATATGCATACATCCCAAATATGATGTTACAACAGGCAATGAACAGCAAGAGGAACATAAATCAAATAATGTGGGAATCTATTACAAACAAAAACCCAATGAAGAAGATACAAACGTGAAAACATAATCAAAGAAGGCCACCAGTGCTCCGGAACGGGTTATTGTGTTGGTTCACCGCGAAATCACCAAACCCGCTGGTATTTGGCTGCTGTGAAACCGGGTTAACCGGGAATTCCCCAAAATCACCAAACGGATTATTACTGTAACTATTACTGGCTGGGGGGTTTGGGAGTGCTAGCTGTAGTTGATGCTGCTGCGGCTGATAAGTTGGCTGGTAAGCACCAAAGGGGTTGCTGCCAGCTGGCTGCTGAGGTGGCAGAGTGCCATTGGATGTTGCAAAAGGATCGTGAACTTCAAATGGGTTGGGAGCTGGTGCACCGTAGACAGGGCGTTGCGAGGCTATGTAAGCTCCATCGTCGTATAGACTGTTCAGTGTGAGCGTGTCTAAGCCTCCAGCCTACACATTAATTGTTTTTTGAAAGGTTAATGCCTACAAATGATTTGATGAACACATACACTATAACGTATTATCCCAGTAATGTAAGCTATTTGCTAGTAACAAGGTTCTAGTCTGATGATTTCGTTTTACTGTATCCTTCAAGTTTGTCCAGACATAAAGTTGAGGTTTTTGAAGATTAGCTTACAAAACATTTAACTAAACCAACAACTAACTCCTTGTTCTCACGATTCCATTACTGATTTCCTATTACAAGGTTCCAAGTCTCAAACTTCACAAATTTACCATAAAATCATGCACGTGACGACTTTTTCATTGTAAACTTGTCCAGATATACTCTAGTGGTTTATCCTAGGCTTGAGATAACATCGAAAATTCCAGCTATACAGCCAAATCCTAAACCGGAAACTAACCGGCTTGGACTATTTTGCGATCTACTGTCTAAAACATAAACAACGAGAAGAATGCTTACCAATTGCCTATCGGTGGCTGCAGAGATATCGTTACTTGGTGTTGATACTAGGGCAAGCTCCCACCCTGAAGGATCATAATCGTTTGTTTGACCAAAACGAGGCGTTGGAGGGTTAACTGGAGACAGAGACAGAGAAAAGTCAGCAAAAAGGTGACATCACCTTTCCCGGCAGGAAGGAGATTGATGGACATGGAATTAAAGGTGGTATAGCAAGAAGCTTACCATCAGTTGGCACTATGGCTAAAGCAAGTGCGTTTTGGTCCTCGATCGCTGATGCATTAGGAGCAGCAGTGTTCAGACCCTGTGTTGAAAAATTACGAAGAGAACCTGAGAGTTAAGAATAGCAATAGGAAGCAAAAGTGAAATCAAGACTCGTTATGTAATAATAATAGGGTTTTCACCAGCAGATCATCTGTATCAATGATATTCTGAGACTGAGTGTTGGCTGAAGGAGGAGGAGGCGGAGACAATTCGGTTTCTTCAGTTACAAGAACGACATCATCTGAAGACAACACAACTTCACGTTCTTCATGAGACGGTTCAGCATCATCGGCAGGAAGTCCATCATCCGGCCTATAAGTTAGAAGCTGCATGTAGATAACTTTATTAGCACATAAAACTCAGAGGAAGAGTTCACAAGGCCAAAATGCTTGGATCACTAATATGAGAAAAGAGTTAGAAGCTGCATGTAGAGAAGAACTTCATTAGCATACCAGTGGTACTGGGACATCCACAGCCCGCGGTGCTTCTTTAATATACTCTTCCATTGTTGTCAGAAAAGACTGTGGGGGCTGGAGACAACGACAACAACGTAATATTAAGTAACAGGTACAAGCAATAATTATCAATTTAATTTAGAAAAAAAGTTCATCTGGTACCTCTCTTAGCACAGGAAACTGAAAATTCCTAGCGAGTTCCAATCCTTTACAGGCTTCATAAAACTCAGAAAGGCTACGAGCCTGGAAAAATTGCAATATCTCTTTTTAGAAAAGAAAGTGACAATAAAAGTAAAGTCCACGCAGAAGAAAATAGGCCAACAAACATCACCTGTTGACCCGCACGCTTGTATATCTCAAGGGAAGTGATGGCTTCATGTTTTGGCATTTCAAAGAACTGCAATAAATAAATAAAACTGAGAAGTGATAAAGAAAAGAGATACGGTAACTATGATGGCAAAAAAACAAACTAGACCTACCTTGTCAATGAGATTGATGATTCCGTCATTAATAGCACAATAGACTTTAAAACTCTCCTTCAACACCTACCATTGCATCACAAAGAAGGTAAGAAATTTTCGAGCTTTGCTTTTTAGCTTGGCACAGAGCAAAAAAACACAACTGTCTCCGGTTGCGGAAAGTTGATAATATTATCACGTACCAGAGCAAGTGCATATTGTATAACATGATTGTGGTTAGCAGCGCCTTCTGGCTGAAAGATAAAAGACAGTTCACTGATCAGCAAATGCAGCCACAAACAAGTAACTACACAAACACATTATAAAAAAAGTACCCTGCAACCAATGAGACGATAGAGAAGCTGCTGCAAAGCAGGCAACTGCACCAAAAGCTCTTCACCATCTAATTCCCTGGTTCTACTGTACCCCTGCCAATCCACAACACCCAAAACCGAAACCATCAGAAAAAAGAAGTCTAAACGCAAAACAAAGCTCAAAGTAAAGGAACATTTGATACCTTATCCTGCCCTGGGGTAGCTTTAGGAAGACGTTCAGCCTCAGTATCATACTTCAAAACCCTGAAGCACTCAAGCCGTTCCTCAAGAAACAATGCATAAGTACGTACCCAAGCTGAACAATCCCACGCTGTAAAAAAAAAAAAAGGCCAAATTAGCATTCACACTCTATAAAAACCTCCTTTGATAATAATGTAAAAAAAACACTGAATTGAGAACTCACCAATAGGGCTTGAATCATCCTTGAAATTAGAAAGTTGCAAAATCCGACCCCTCTGCGAAAAACTAAGAAGCTCTTCTCGAAATGTAGGGTCTCCTTCCCTTAGAAGCCGGTGAATCACAATCAGTGTCTTCAGTGCAACCTATTGGAAGCGATCAAGTTCATTAACTAGTAACCTAACTTCAAATTCAAATTCTAATCCAAAACCCTAAGGATTACAAAAGTGTTATTTTAAAGTACCGTCCAGTTTCTGGTTTTATGCAAGCGGCGGGAGAGAGCGTGAATACAATAAGCAACATCTGCTCGAGCACGTGTCACTGCCGTAGCCGCGAAGATTTCTGCAAAAGAGATAACAATTACAGATCTAAAGAATTCTCCAAGAAAATAACTGACAAAATAAAAAATGAAAATCACTCACTTCTGAGATGACGATCTTTGGGTGGACACTCGACATGATTCGTGGCTTTGACTATGGCAACATCCAAATCCTATTTTAAAAGAATTAAATTACATCGAAATTTCGAGAAAAGAAAATAAAATCGAATCTATGAGAGAAATGAAAATGAAGCGCGTACGGCGTAATCGCTGTTGACGCGGACAAGGCCGACTTTGGTGGTGTCTTTTAAGGCTCCATAAGCTTTACGCCATGACTGTAGCGTTCCCATCGGAAAGGAGACTCGTTTCAGATCTCTGACTCACTCTAACCGAAGAATCTGGAGAATTATTATTACGTGTCGATGAGTTTTTTTTTTTGGTTTCCGATAAAACCTCTGGGGAAGTTTCACGAGGAATCAGAGAGAGTAACGAAAAGGAGAGAGAGCGCAAAGTGAAGAAGGCACAAGAAAAGGGACGCGATATTAGTTGGACTCGTTCCGGTTTTTCTTTTTTTGTTATGTTATTTTTCCTGATTCAAAGTCAAATTATTCAGACCAGAAATTAAAAGAGGAGTCAAAATAATTATTTGAAAATGCTGATTATTGAATTTTCCGACCACAGAAATGGAATGAAAGGAATTTTCTGTTGATTTATATTAGTTTATTATCTGGCCACTTATAGTATTATTTTTAATTGACATGTAACCAAAGAGAAATAAGATTGGTCTACAAAAAGAAAGAAAAATACAATTCATAAGTTAAAAGGTCACCCAAAAGCATAAGTGGTGATGATACATCTCTGACAGTGCAAATGACCTAACTCATCATCAAAATCGGATCTGCTCCTCTGGATTATCATCTCTTTTTTTTAATACATTATGAAATTGCAAAGCCATGTGTGCCTTAAAGCCCATAAACATATAAGCTTAACAGATCACAGTCACCAATTTCAAAAGGATGATTATTTTTCTGTTTAATAAAAAGCATAGCTTAAGAAAGAGAGAATATGGATGTGAGAGTGAGAAATGTGGATCACTTACCAATTTGTGAAATAGCCAGCTTCATGTTTGAAATATGTTTTTTTACTTTGTGATTTTGATATAATATCGATTGTTTTGCTGCTATAAACCCATAATCTGATAGTTTTCTTCAAATTTGATAATTTTCTTGGATATATATATATATATGGTAAAACGTTGAAATGTGTGGAACATGGACAAAAATGAGATGGGAAATAAACAAAAAAAAAATTATCTTGTTATATCTGAAGCAGAGCTCCAATATTATTGTGAACGTTTCTTCTTGCAGGATTTTCATAGCTTTTTTTTTTTGAACGTTTCTTCTTGCAGGATTTTCATAGCTAAGATTAGTAAAATATGCGACGGATTACTAGTCAAACATATTATTGGGCTTGCTTGTATCTTATGGGTTTGGGTTTCTAAGATTTATATCATGTGATCCATATATCACACTGAAAAAAGTAGAAATAGTGAAACATGGCAGAGAGAAGAAGTGAAGAAAACTAATCATATACATTTTGCTTGTCAATAAGTAGGACTAGTAAGGAGTATAGCCGTATAGGCAAAGTAACCGACCGCTTAGAACATCATAATCTCATAATTTTAACGATTATTTCAGTTGTATATTGGGCACTATAAAAATAATCATAAATAATAAGATTTTAATGCGTACTGCATCAAATAAAAATGAAAATGTTGAATCGCTGTCAATAAGTAATATATACATACTACAGTGTGAACATTCACGAAGCAGGAATCCAGGATTCATAAACAGCAGGACTAATCATTTACATTTTTTGTCAACAAGTAATATATTACATTTCGAGGAACGACGTTAAGCGGACAACAGCGACCCAACGACTAACGTATAAAATGATAATGGGCTTAGGTGATCATACATCGGTAACCATTTTAATAATACTATGGTTAACCAATGATGTAAGAGCATCCGTAGGATTCATGAGAATCCTGCAAATGAAAAATTAATTTGAAAAGATAAGAGAGAGAGTTTTTTAAAAAAAAAAGAATAAGAGAGAGTGTAGAACAACTCTTCTTAAAGAACCATCTCAAACTGCGGAAGGTATCGAAGTTACACCTGTTAAACAAAGAAAAAATTAATTTTATTTAAAAAATTAAAATTAATACTTAATAGAACTAGTAATTTTTATATTTGTTAAGAGACTCATCTTTTATTTACCAGTGCAGATGTTCGAATGCTAACAAAGCTTCCGATTTGGTTAAAATTAAAACACTACATTTGCTCTTCTTTTTGCCAACCTTTGAAGCTTAGGGGACATGGTCCGCTTGGCTAAGCCAATTGTGTTAGCCCCATGGATACTAACTAACATTTTCATCTCTTGGTCTTTCAATTCTATAAGACACAAGCTTCGGATGTTTTATATTGTTTGATTTCAAAAGCATTCCTCATATTTTCTATAACTGTGTATGACTATAAGTTAAAGCAATATATAATATTTGGTTTAAAAATGTATTAAACAAAAAAAAAAACCTTTGAAGCTTAATTTAATTGTAAGAGTCGGTTAGCCAAACCGATTGGTCCTACTACATTTACTTTAGTCGACTCCAAATCTTAAATTATCATATGATACTAATTGGAAATACACAAATCGAAAATTAAACAGACAAAACGCATAGACCACCTAAAATTACTTATGCGACGCATAAACTGCTTACATGCTGCGTACACCTTTGAATTTTCATTCCTGTCTAAACCAATTATTACCACAATAAAAGTATGTTTAGCGCATAAACGCCGTTCAAGCCTAACACGATTTCTTGGACACCGGCAAAAATGGAAACAAAAAGTAAAAGAGAGTGAAAAGTATAGGGTTAACGTGTAAACCTGCTACAACATTGTGGTGTTTTACGTGTGAATAAAGTCAAAATTTGGTCACTAGAATAAGCCTTTTTCTTACATGTAACAAAAGAAGAAAGGTCATGTGTTCAACTATCATTACTTAATGACTTAAAAATGGTTACATTTAGTCATTAAACATACAACTATCGTTTTCTCACGCCTAATCGCTCTAAACCAAACCCCACCCACTCTTAAACAACATTATCAAATCACTAAAAAGGAATTAATCATAAGAACACAACAGAAGCAAATGATCCCAAGAAGCTACTAATCTAAGCCAGTGCCAACTAAGAGAACCATTAGAGAAATGGCAGATTCCGACATAGAGACCAACAGCAACCACTCAACCGCATCAACGACAAGTGTTCATGTTTCAGCTCTTGACGGGATAGTCAACGCAAATTCACTCTTCACAGTTGCAGTCTTTGTGGGAATCACATTCGACCAACCACGTGTCCTCAACCTCGCGGACAGGACAGAGTGCAACGCGGGACTAGACGTGGAACGAGACCTCGTTGTGTTCGAAGTAATCTCGTTTGCATTCTTCCTCTTCTCCTCCCTCGTGGCTCAAGGGCTGAAGCTAACCATCAACTTGTTGAACAGCAAAGAAACCGACGATGTTTTTAAAGCAAATATCAACAGTGATCTGCTTCGTCTCGGTGTGGTTGGTGCAGCTGGTGGGTCCATTTTGGGCTGTGTGTTCCTTCTGTTGTCGATGGTTGAAGTTATTCAGCTCCGTCTCGGGCTGCTCTCTTGTGGTAACTCATTGGCGGTTCATACTGTGTTAGCGCTTGTGATCTTGGTCTCTTCTGCCCTCAGTGTTTATATTTTCACTATATTCTACTCTTTCAGGAAATAACTGATTATATCTTTTTGCATATATAAAAAACTTGATAGTTATAATTTTGTAGAGTAACATATAGTTGTCAAATTAGTGATATAAGTATACACATGTATCTTGGTTACTTACGTACAGAGAAAATAATGTTTAATAAACGTAAGCAAATATGTATGTTTCGGTAAACTGTACCGAGAATGTAAAGTACCTTGCTTGAATCGTTAGTTTGTATTGCTTTCGGTCCATACCTTTGTTGTTGTGGTGTTTGGTGCTTGTTGTTTTCACTAATTGTTCCTCTATCAAAAGTTGAAAATTGGTAATAATATTAACATTTTACTAAAACATAAAAATAAATAAATAATTCAAGAAACTAACCAAACACAATCCACCTATATGGCAAAAGAGACCATATTTAAGGCATCATTATCGCTAGTACGTTCACAAATCCTTAGAATTTTTTTTTTTTTTTTAAAACCATTCACGAAGACTTAGGACACTCCATAAACGTGTGTTAATTAAGGACATTTGACCTCGGTTTTTACAAAAATGTGGGACTCCAACACCTAAGGAATACTCTAAGAGCTCCCGATAATGTTGGTTTTAAAATACTTCATCTAATCATCACAACATGGCTGACAACTTCTTGTCTCGGACTCGAAGGAAGCCACGCAACACACAATTAAGAAGTTCATCTCCATGGAATACAAGCTAAAACAAAATCATATACAGAACATCTCAAATAACTAAATAGGTAATCATGTGAAATATCTGAAAATGCAGATGTGATTATCATTAACATTCAAAAACAGATTGAAGATATCAATTTGATTTAAAGAATACTAAACACACAGATTCATACACAATCTCACTCGACCAGAACAATATCATCAAAATTTATAAGACGAATTCACTTACCACTTCTAAAAAAACATAGCCAGAATATCAAAACCAAAGACTACTTCTAAGAAACCTGTTCTTGTAAGAATGTTCAGAATTAACTAAAACAAATTAGGTTACCAAACTCCAAAATCATTTTATCTAATAGTATCTTTCATCGATGACGTCCAAAATTTCAAAGTTCGGAAACATTCTTATGTACTCACAAACACGTTGAGAGAATCACTTATGAATACCAGGGCTCGATCTAATACGATGAAAAAGTTCCATCGGATTCTCATATACTTCCATATCAAAGACTCGAACATGGCAACGGTTACCGCTTCGATCTAAGGCCGTCTGCAACGGGAGAATGTCACCGATCCTTATGGCTAATCCTTGGGATTAAAAGGATTATTATAATCGATTGTGGTGTAAATATCGACGGATCAATCCTAATATAAGAATTTAGAAGGACTTGATCCTTAGCACACGTGTCGGCTTGTGGTGTGTTCCGCGCCTGTTGTCTTTGGTTTATGAAAAAAAAAATCACTTTATGTTTAACCATTGTATCTTTTTCTTAAATAATGAATTTAATAAAATTTAAATTTCAGTTTTCAAAAAAAAATTATATTATTTTTAAATTCATAATAACTTCATCGTAGGGAACACCATTGGACACTCACTTTTGATAGGAATCCTTAACTATTCCAAAAAAAGCAAAAAAAAAAAAAGATATTACTATAATATTCATAAGGACTCTTGGGTGAGGAACACCATTGCATATGCCCTTACTCCCAGTTCCCAGTCTCTATACCAACCGTTCCATGTAATTATTAGTCTCCAAATTGAAACAAGGTGACATAATTGCCCTTAAATCCCCCTTCGATGTCCAATACGTCTGTGGAATGTTGATGTAGGTCCGGTTATAAATTAAAGAGATTAAAATGCGTGGTTACATTTGGTTGTCATGACAAGACTATTATTATCATTTTCAATCCAAGTTATGATTTAGGAAAACAATATGATTGCATGTCAAGTTGATGGATGGAATCATGATTATTGTCTATATTTGGTAAATTCAAAGTGCTTGTGATGTATTTTGATTTTAAAATACATTACCAAAAGAAGAAGCTAGTTATCAAATCATGTGTTGCTCAAAAAAAAAAAAATGGTTATCAAATCATGTATGACTTTCGTGCAAAAAAAGTATGACTTTCGTGCATAATGAATTTGCTAGATGATTAGTAGGGTATTATGGTATCATCCATTTGACGTAACACGCTATATTATTGCTTTTATATATTTTTATAAAATGTTTTGTTTTGCTTTATTTCCAGTTGAAGTTTAGACGAATTGATGTTGTAGTTCAACTCTTTCCTCCATATCTGAACTTCCGCTCGGATATTATTAATTTTAATTTTAAGTTATGGTTGAAAATAAAAAAATTGATTGGGGTCATTCTGGTTACCCGCTACTCCGCTACGTACCATTAAGCTCCAGCTGGAAAAGTCGCATACAAGTATAGAACGCAAGGTCCATGGTGCTTGCAAGAAGCAAGATCACAAGGTCATCATTATCATTTTATAAACTCTAGTGAATTACTTTAAACATGTTTTAACATTTAAAATATCTAACCACTAAGAATATAACAAGTATACTGAATCTTTTATAACGTAGCACTATTTAATGATAAAGTGACAATTGTATTGAAAGTCTATCATTAGTTATATGTTTCTTCTATTTTCTTTTTAGGGGATGAAAATCCCGAATTTTCACTAATCTAAATCGGCAGTTATTTTGTCAAATCATTAAATTTCCATACAAATTACTGATGATATATGAGAAACAATTAATTCAAATATTTTTTTTCTGAGTTGCTTGTTTGTAAACTATTTTATTTAAAAATATTTGGTGTTAGTAGCTCAACCAACATCGTATGGCCACCCAAAAATGATAATCGATAAGATTCTAAGTTCAAACGTGAGGGGTGAGGAAAATTGTTAGAGAGAACAACAAGACTATATATGCGTAGTTGCTCAAAGACAAGTAATCAAATACGAACTTTTAGTTTTCACAGAGAAACTCAAACGATCACACTGGATAACATTTACATATAGCTCGTTTGGTAATCAGTGTTGCGAGTGTCAAACCTTTTGAATCTTCTTTCGATATTATAAACAGAACCAGCAATTGATTCAAAAGACAAGGTTCGATCTTTTTTCTTTAATATTTTTCTTTTTTAATTAGTAAAGATATTTATACGGTATCCTCGAACAGTTACCGTCACACGTTATCCACACATGCTAATAGTGTAGTGATAAACCACATCATCAAGAGAAATAATTGACGAGAAGTGATGAAAAGATTCCGAGTCTTATCAAATAGATATGCGCATGTCGCCTTCTCGGGCCGCAATCTATCTACATGTCCGCATGTCGGCAAAAACTGCCTTTAATTCATTCGTACCGGCTTTTATTACTTTCTCTGTGTGTAATAATACCACTGCATATGATGTAACAAAATGAGTTCTGTTGAGTCGACCAGTCAATCTTTTAATTGGCTAGTGGGAAAATACATAGAGATAAATCCATACACGAGCCCACCTTTTATTCATGTGGACTTCATGCGTCTTGCACCTGAAACCAACGAAAGCAAATTTGTTTTCCCCTCCTCTTGTTATCTATTTCCAAAGCAAGTTGAAGATGACAATACAAAAAACATTATATAATTATTTGGTTTTGACTCTTTTGACGTGGTAGATCTCGAATCTTATAAACTCAGAGCACTGTGTCCCCTTTCTGGCCAATCGATTCTGCATTTCTGCACACTATTTTCTTACCTTGCACGTGTAGTATTCATGTAATACTATGTACATTTATACAACTACAACGTCTTTTGTTTATTTATTATAGATACATTGTATACTTCTTTGTTTAATAAAATTTTATAGCATACGTATACTTAGAGTGTTGTGTATATCGGGAAGCGAAGTTTCGAGATGTGAATGTGAAGTTCACATGGGCACAGTTTATCCCACTTCTGCATAGATTCCATGAATTACAACTTCTTGGAAATTATGGATAGTACGAGCTTTTTTGAACGCTTAAATGTAAATAATTCAGGTACATAAAAATATAAAGTTTTCTTATTGATAAAAAAATATAATGCTGGGGTTTCCAATAAGCATAAATAATTTGTTTAAAATGTCTAACTTTAGTTCTCTAATAAAAGAAAGCAACTTCACATTAGCAGTGTGTCTTTAAAGTGTAAAACAAACCACTTTTCTTAACCAAATTTCTCAAAATGATCGCAAATTAATATAAGAAAAGCAAAGCGAAGCTAATATTGCATTAATTTAATAAAACTCTATCGCAATACAGCTAAAAGTCGCACCAAGACATGCACAATGGTAATGCCCATCTAATTTAAAAATGAGTCGTCCCCTTTATCTTTTGATCAAAAGATTTCCTGTATTAATCTGAAAAAAGTTTTCCTGTAAATTAATAGAATTTTGGATAATTGCTTGATTTGATTAAACAATAAGTAAGGATATTAACAATAATACTTTTCTGTGGGATCACGTTTGAATGGTGTTAATTCCGTAATATTTTCAGCAATTTTCGATTAAAATACATCTGAGTAATTTTATATATGGAAGCGCTGCCACATTGCGTAGAGGCAGAGCGTGCAGTTCACTTCCAGATCGCGGTGATCATCGAAAGGTGCACACTTTCATGCTTACACGACACGTATGTAATTTCCAGGCTGTCTAGAGCTTACGTACAGCCACACGACTTTCTCTGCTACGTACGTCGCACGCGCCACCGTTAATTTAGTTCATTAGTTATTTAATTTCAGTGGTTGGAAACTACCGTTTTATTTCATGTATTTTTAGTCCTTATTTACTGTAACATCCCAAGTTGTTGTTATTATTATTTGTAAAATCATTTGTGTGAATGGCAAATTATATATAAGTATTTCCATTTTCTGGTCGATTGTCACTGTCCTATTCTTCCATTCAAAAACCCTAAGCATCATTTCACTTGTTTTTATGTTTTTGTATTAAATAGATTTAATATGATAAAAATCGAACAAAGTTGACTTGAACCCAGTTTCAGATTAGTTAAAAACAGTTAAAATAAAATTAGATTTTGATTAAACCCACAAGTAAGATGAAAAATTTATGTTTACTATCTTATGAGTATTGTGGACTAGTAGAAATCATCTGATGTTTACAGATAAATCTTTCTCGAAAATTGAGGTGTTCGTAGGTAGAAACTGTAAAAATATTAAGAGTGACATAACTTTAAGGCGTGTGCAAAACCAACCTCAGATTCACCTTAAAATGTTCTGCTAGTTTCCTCTAAATCCAGATACCTCAGACATTTTTTCTTTGCTATTTTGACGCTGCTTAGCATAGTGCGTCTGGGAGGGGGGGGGGGTAGGCTGGTTATGCTGTGATCCTTTGGGATCTTGGGATCTATAGTACTACAGGGTTCAACTTCATGTAATGTTGTAGGAGTAGTCTCTGTTTTAGCTGCTGAAACAAAAGTTATGAAAGTCGGACTAAAAACGGTCATAGAAATCTCATCACTCTCGTCACATGAAACAAGTTATGATAGCTCTCAAATGGATACTCCATGACATTGTTGTGTTGAGTTTTTCCCTATCATTTATCTCGTTTCATTTTATTCTCCGTAGTTGTAATGTAGCGGCTGATGCATTGCCAAACTTTGGCTACTGCTCTTACATATTTCTCTAGTATGTAAGACTTTATTTAAACTACTCAAGTAATGGTTTGACCAAAAAAATATTGTTGTGAGTATTAAGACCATCGGTACACCGTCACCGTGACCTAAATTTCATAATTATTCAAAGATTTACACAAGAAAAATAAAATTATAAATCTTGATAAGCTAGGAAAACGATGAATCATTATAATTCTGGAATTCATGCAATTCAGGTGCCCCTACCAACTATAAATGGTCTCCCTGCCACTTCATATCAATTGATGGCAATTCAATTGTTTGTAACTCCATTTTATTTATTTGTATTTTCTTTAATTATTGTGATTTTTTGGGTATGTTTTCTATAAATATTTATTTGTATGTTTTGCTACAAAAACACTAATTTGTTGTGACAGATGATTTGATACCATGCTCATTTCCTGTCTTCCACCCAAAGGAAAAACCAATGGGAGAACTTGATTGCAATCAATAAAAGAGAAATGCGAAGATATTCGTGAAGTTTTTTAACTGTGTTTGCTCTAAACTGACAAATTTCTTAATCGTCTTCCGACTACTTATATTCAACATGACCTTGACGAATTACTAGCAGTTAACAATACTGGTCAAGAACACAGATCAAGTAGCCTGAGACCCAAAGAGCTTGGCAATAACCAAAACGTCATTATATAATTCTTTAAACTAATATAAAATACCAGTTTAGTCACTATTTCGTCAACAGCAGACTACTAAAGTAAATGATTTACTAAAATGTATCAAGATGATAACTTATTATGGGCACATTAGGCAACTGATGTAATAATATTCCGATAATAGATATCTTTACAAATATTTCTGAATATATATTAGGTCTACCAGATCATAATAGCTATCTATGTAAGGTTTATCTGTACAATGATAATCTCTAAGTGATTTTCGCAGGGGAAGTATGAATTTAACCCAACCAAAAAAACAGTTTGAAGCAAATAAAAAGGAAAAAATACTAAGAAAGTGACGTGACATTGTAAAATGTAACCATGAAGTTAAAAGGGATAGAGATGAATAAAAAGGACCAGAGAAAAGGGACCGTGACAACGCCGTCAATGAAGCAGACTCAGGGCCTACCGTTTAAGTCTATGAAAATAGGTCACGTGTTCAATCACCTTAATTGTAGGGACCACAAAATGAACGGCGTTCGGTTAATCAAAAGCTATACCGTTCGATTGATGGTGCGGACCCATTTACACGTGGAGCCACCATGTGCTGTCAGTTCGAGTTTGCCGAAGGGTACGAATATCTTTAATAAATTCTATTTTTTAACAGCTGATATTAAAATAGTCCGTTAATGACGGCGTCAAGCAATGGACGGAATCTCTTGAATGATTTGACATTGACGGACGCGGCCGGTAATGCTTAAAACCGGGTTTTCTTGTCGCACGATGGTCCCAAGTCCGGTTTAATTTTTTCAATTGTTCGAGAGAGTATTGTGAAAAGTTACTCCTACTAATGTTTGCTGTAATAATTTACATTCATTACTCTCACTTACCTGTAAAGGATCCCTACTGGCTACTGACTTTAGGGTTTCATGCTTGGAAATTTATGTAACTGAAACTTTAAAACAAACAAATGACGTAGATTAAATAATTTAATGTGTATTTAGATGTCAAATAGCTTCCCGTTAAAAAGGTTAAACAGCGTCTTGTTGTCTGCGTAACTTTAAAATGCTAGTTATATTATACCTAGACTGAAGTAATCGTAGATTAGCATGTTCATTGTTCACCCAAAGAAATGTATAGTTAAACCTTCTCAAGTAGTATGTGAGTGATCATTATGTAATTGTACGCATTTTGAAAATTAGAGAATAAATTATAGGTCTAGTTTAACTTCAGAAGTTTTAAAACGACTCGTAAACTGAAACGCATAGGTTTGATGATTTCCCAAAACCCAATTACAGAATCTTTTTTAGAATTTTGAATTTGCATGTAGTACTATTACTTGAAATTTACTGTAAAGTACTGTTGTTGTAGTGTTGTTTTTTTTCCCGAGTCGTACGCCTTTAGATTAATGTTTTCGATGGCTGGGGTTAACAAGTTTGCTGGAAAAAGTAACAAAATAATTCGTATAAATTCATTATTCCGAATGGTAAAACTATTATAGAAGTGTATAGTTTATTCTCTGTTCAAAACCTGCCACAGTGAATTTATTTTTCCGATTTAACCCCAAGGCATGGTCGGTTGAATTATTATTATTACCATCGAACCTGGGAACTTAAGCAGAGGGTATATGAACTGAATTCAGCTTTTATGAATTATAATTATCCACTGGAAAAGCAGCTTCAGTTCTCCATCAAAAGAATCAACTAAAAAGCCCTAAATCTGTATTTAAAATTCTGATAAAAGGTTAATGATTCTTAGCCTTCTTAATACTTTATTTTTTGACTACATAAAGAAACTCAAATACTAAAACGTCGGTTTTAATACATGTAGTAGATCCACGAAATTTTAACAACTCTAGCAAATCTCGTGATTTAAATTTCACATATACCATGGATAGCAAAATAAGTATTTAATCTTCTTCAAAAATTAAGTGAGATTGAATTTTTTTATAAATAAAGTTAAATCGCAGTAAATTTTCTTTCTTTTTACACCGTTTTTTACCTTAAATATGTGAAAGTTACGCTGTACTAACAAAATTAAATATTTGTATATTCTCAGCCTTATCGGTTTGGAGGTGTAGATGCATAATTCATAGGCTGTCGAGCCCATCAACACCATTCTTTTATTTTAATTTAACAAATATCTTCATTTTCTCTGGTAAATAAAAATTCATCAATTATTTTCAGAATTATTTATATTTTCGTATGATCGATCATTGAAGTGGTAGTAGCAGTGAAAAGCAAAGCAATCCCCACCCAATACTCGATTGCTCAAAGATTCTTCACCTTATTAGTCACTCACATGCTCCTCTTCTTCCTTACCCAACACAAAAAAAAAAACACACAAACCCTAGATCCACGACCAGAACCCAAAACCAGACCGATCTGAAAATCAACTACCCTAACCAAACCAGATCAGAAATGAAGAGAGATCTTCATCACTTCCAAGCTCCCAACCACGGGACATCATCAATCCCCGGTTCCTCCACTTCCTCCCCCGCGATTCTCAGTAAAGACAAGATGATGTTGGTCAAAGAAGAAGAAGACGACGAGCTTCTCGGTGTCTTGGGCTACAAAGTCAGGTCCTCGGAGATGGCTGAAGTCGCTTTGAAACTCGAGCAGTTAGAGACGATGATGAGTAATGTCCAAGAAGATGGATTAGCTCATCTCGCTACCGATACTGTTCATTACAACCCCGCTGAGCTTTACTCTTGGCTTGACAACATGCTCACGGAGCTTAACCCACCCGCTACTGCTGCCTCCGGGTCAAACGGTTTGAATCAGATTAATAACAACTCCTTCTTTAATGATTACGAACTCAAATCCATCCCTGGAAACGCGGTTTGCGCGAGATCTAATCACTTCCCGATTGATGATGATTCCACCAACAAACGTTTGAAACCATCTGATGCAATGGTCACATCTCCATCACAGGCCGTTACAGGAACAACAACCGTAACAACAACCACCGAGTCAACTCGGTCTTTGATCCTGGTCGACTCGCAAGACAACGGAGTGCGTCTAGTCCACGCGCTCATGGCCTGCGCGGAAGCCGTACAGAGCACAAACCTAACCCTAGCGGAAGCTCTCGTCAAGCAGATCGGTTTCTTAGCCGTGTCGCAAGCCGGAGCCATGAGGAAAGTCGCTACTTACTTCGCCGAAGCCCTCGCGCGGCGGATCTACCGCCTCTCTCCGCCGCAGACGCAAATCGATCACTCCCTCTCCGACACTCTCCAGATGCATTTCTACGAGACCTGCCCGTACCTCAAATTCGCTCACTTCACCGCCAACCAAGCCATCCTCGAAGCCTTCGAAGGTAAAAAAAGAGTCCACGTCATCGATTTCTCGATGAGCCAGGGACTCCAGTGGCCCGCGCTTATGCAAGCGTTGGCGTTGCGAGAAGGTGGGCCCCCGAGTTTTAGGTTGACAGGGATCGGTCCCCCCGCGGCGGATAACTCTGATCATCTCCACGAGGTCGGGTGTAAGTTAGCTCAGCTCGCGGAAGCGATCCACGTGGAGTTTGAGTATCGTGGATTCGTGGCTAACAGCTTAGCTGATCTGGACGCGTCGATGCTTGAGTTGAGACCGAGCGAGACGGAATCCGTGGCGGTTAATTCTGTTTTCGAGCTTCACAAGGTGTTGGGCCGTTGCGGTGGGATGGAGAGAGTGTTTAGCGTTGTGAAAGAGATTAAACCGGTGATTTTCACGGTGGTTGAGCAGGAATCGAGTCATAACGGACCGGTTTTCTTAGACCGGTTTACTGAGTCGTTGCATTACTATTCGACTTTGTTTGATTCGTTGGAAGGTGCGCCGAGTAGTCAGGATAAAGTTATGTCGGAGGTTTATTTAGGGAAACAGATTTGTAATTTGGTGGCTTGTGAAGGTGAGGATCGTGTGGAGAGGCACGAGACGTTGAGTCAGTGGTCTAACCGGTTCGGTTCGGCTGGTTTTGTGGCGGCGAATCTTGGGTCTAATGCGTTTAAGCAGGCGAGTACGCTTTTGGCTTTGTTTAATGGTGGGGAAGGGTATCGTGTGGAGGAGAGTAATGGGTGTTTGATGTTGGGTTGGCACACTCGACCGATGATAACCACCTCCGCTTGGAAGCTCTCGGCGGTGCATTGAGTTGACACGAAGGAGAAGGTTTGTGGTGGTATGGGGAGTTGACTCGAAGCCAACTGTGTTGATGTGGTGAGTTGACTCGAAGCAGACGGTGGTGGTGAGGTGAGGTAACCGGTTGTTTGAGCTAAAATCAGTGGACCGGTGGTGACATATGTTGGGACCAGACCTAAACCGAGCTGAAGAGAACCGTTTTGGCTTTTTATTTATCTATTTTCACCTGTTTAAAATTTTTATATATGTTTTGTTAGGTCAGTTTTAATATATGCTTTTTTTGGGGATGAGTCAATATGCAGAGCATGTATTTACTAAATATTCATATATTCAATAAACCTATGTTTGTTCACAATTGAATGTTAAAATAATTTTGACCAAACATGGTGAACTAATAACAAAACCTCGGCCGAAGAAATCTGTTAACTTCACAATAAATCAATAGCTAGTGATATTAGATATTTCTAAATTGTTAATGAGTTTTTATTGTAAAGATGATAAAGAAAAAAGATTGAGAGCGAGAGATATTATTTATTACAAAGAGCTGACTACTTAAGGGACACTTTGAAGAAAAACTTTGTGAAACTTTATTGATAGTGTTTGATGTAACGAATTTTTGCTTACATATGACTAATTTCTTATTGGCTCTGGTTGTAATGCCACGTATGAAGCGGGGATTTCATATCTGTATAATTAATATTTTTAATGAGTATTAATTAGATCTACAAAGCGACTATTGGATCCGATGTTTTAAAATCTTTTATAATGTAGAACATTTTGTTTGCGTGTCTCTGTACCTTATTAACGTGTTTCTATTTCGTTTTACATAAGGAATAAACAAAATCTCGTACATAGACATACGTGATATATATAAGATATATAATGTGTTTTAAGTGTTTTTTTCTGTGTGCACAGTTTAGTGTTCTACCTACATGTATCTTTTTGAAATCTAAAATCTGGTAGATGCATACTTTATGTTGAAAGTACATAAATATTACATTAAACCGCCGGAACAATTGAAAAAATAGACGTGATTATAATTGTTTAAAATGCATACACGCATTATGAGCTCGATGTTCTTAAAAAATAACTCAAAAGGTTGCGAGTTATTTTTGTTAGGTATATGATTAGTGTATGACCACACGCCAGCCAGTTACAAAAAGGATTGAACCGACGCATATCAATATTTTTAAAATTAATTGCATAATAATCTTCTTTAACAGTGAATAAAAGGCCACATAACTTTCTAGCTTGGTAGTGTATCCTTCTGGGTTGGGTTTGCTTAAGTCATTGATTCTTTGGTTATCTTTACTCTCATGTTCTTCAGTACTGTCAGCGAGTTATGATCATTCCATCGGTTTCAGCTTTAAATATGTGGTTCTCTAATGTTTATTTCTTGTATTATCCTATCTTATTGTTATTTTCTCTCTTTTGGGTTATTGCTTCCGGAAATATTACTATTTTTTGCCGGTTTCATTATTTACAATGTATTTTATTATGAAAATTTAATAAATTTTTGAGTTAAAATTTTTAAGTCTGAACATTTGGGTCTCTGGATCGGATTTGGTTCATAATTTGTCGGGTTCGGATTTTTGAGTTCTTAAATATTTGAGGATAATTAGATTTTTTTTATTTATGTTCGTTTCATGTCATATAGGATCTGGATCGATTCAGCTTGATTTGGATCTTGTTAGATCCGAAACGGTTTGAATTTTAGATATTTTGATTTAATCGGATTACTAAAACTCATCGGTTCAGATTTAGTTTGGAATTCGGTCGGATCCTATCCGGATCGATTCAGAAATCAATGAGATCTAGTTTTGAACATTTTTTAGAAATTTTCATATTTATATATATATATATATTAGTTAATTTGTGGGATAGTTATCAGTGCTCTGATGTGGTCTGGTGGTGGTATTTCAGCAGGAGTTTGGACTTCTATTGTTGGATTTGATTTTCTTGATTTAAGTTTTAGTTGATATTTAGTGAATTACTAATTCCAAATACTCATATTAAAAATGTTAGTTTTGGTCAAAAGAAACAATTAATATAAATAAGTCATACTACTACCTTAAATTAGCACTCGAAAATAACTAAGGTCCAACATTTTTAGGCTTAAAACTAGTTCAAATAGATTATAAATAGGTTCTTAATCCTGATATATATTAGAGGTTTCACATATTTTAGATATCCATTAAATTTTAAGTTCACGTTGGGACGGATTTAAGATCCATGAGTTCTCTACAATAAAATCTAACGAGATAACTAAGATAGTATTACTCGTATTCGATTCAAACCAGTTTGGGTTTTCGACTCCAAGTTAAATGCCCATGCTTATATGTAGAGTTTTTATATTCTCTACAAAATGCAATAATTTATGTTAATTTGATACGAAGGAAGGCCCCACATGCATAAAATGCTTTTAACCACCAAGTTGCCAATTTTCCTTTGACACCATCGAATTCTCCTTTTCACAGATTATTTTTTTCACTCTTTCACATCGAATTCCAATATTATATTATAAGGTCCATATATTAGTCCCTCATTGTCCTCTCAAATATTTCATCGCAGTATTTTATTATTATATATTTTATATACGTCTAACCATATAGAAACATTGAATTTCTGCAATGTCTGCAAGATTCGATATTTTCACAACTTTTATAATAGTGCGAATCGAATTTGCATTTCGCTTATCCACAACTATTATTTTTGGCAGCTAACACAATGCACTACAAGAAAACTCGTCCATTACTAGGACGGGTTTTCCTCGTTAGTTCCTAGTAAATGGCCTTTTACTAGGAACTTACGAGGAAACGCGTTTCCTCGAAACACGTTCATCGTAAAGACATTTTCCTCGTAAGGTTGTAGCGAATTTACGAGGAAAGCTTTCCTCGTAAAGGCGTGGTAATATTTTCCTCGTAA